ACCTAAAAAAAAATTAAGGCTGGATTTGATCAGTTGTTAATTGGGACAGTCTATCCTTCAGCATCGGTCCTGCTCTCACCTCAGCTTAACTGAGGTGTAACCCTCTGGGTTTTACAAGCATAATCTTGACAGCATGAGGCATGGACCTATGAAGTCTAACCATGATCCTTTTTAACATAACTTAATATGGCATCATTTTTATGACTGGTCTTAGAGGAAAAATAAGCGCTATAAATGACATACTGTATGACAAAGGTTGGAGTAAAACCTGGATAAATAGTTATTTAGATGAACAGAAGGGGTCTCTACTTTCATTTTTAATAGGAGATGAGCAAACAGGATATTCCTTTAGCATTTAGTGTTTTGATTATTTTTAGCAACCCCGCAAATATCCATCCATCCATCTTCCGTTACACTGATACCAGCCGGGGTCACGAGGGGTACTGGTGCCTATCTCCAGCTGGAGATGGACGAGAGGCGGGGTACACCATGGACAGGTCGCCAGTCTATCACAGGGCAACACCGCTTAGAAGATCTACAGATTTAAGTCAGATCTGATCCAACTCTTCCTTTGGCTTAAGCTTGAGGACAGCTTTATATTGCAAAAGGCTGAACCAGGAAGTTATTTTAGGATTTGTGATACATCCATCCATCCATTGTCCGTCACACTTATCCCAAGTGGAGTTGCAAAGGGTGCTGGTGCCTATCTCCAACTATCTACGGGCAAGAGGTGGGTACACCCTGGACAGGTTTGTGACCCAAAAAAAGCCTCACAACATAAATTATTGGTTGTTATTAATTATTTTTTTTTTTTTTGTTGCTTTATGAGAAAATTCGTAGAGCTCCTTAATTTTCTTCTGTGTTGCGATCTGCTATTCTAGACTTCTAAGTTAACATTTTGGGTTCTCAGCTATGCTTTATTTTATATTATTCTGTGTTGTCAAGATTTATATCATTTTTGTATTCTTAGACTTAGATTTAGACTCAACTTTATTTATCCCCTTGGAATTACTCCTTCAGGGAAATTCTGGTTCCATTAGCTTATATAGTACAAAGAGTTTAAGTAAAATGGGATAAATATACGACTGACAATATAAAAAGAGTGTATATGGTATCAAAAAAATAACATGAAAAAGAGAATAGTTGTAATGTCCTGGAATGTGTTTCCCTTAGTTTTAATCTTATCTTTTCTCCAGTCCCTTCCCTTATCCTGTAGTTTTCCTCGGTTATTCTTTATTTTCTTGTCATTGGTCTTATTTCCCTTTTGATTCATTTCAGTTCTTTTCTAATTTTAGTTTAGCCCTCTTAGGGCCGGATCTATCAAAGGTTTGCGTGTGTTAAAACGTGAGCTATTTCACTACGCACGCTAAAAAATGTACAAACTGATCTATCAACAGCGTGCTAAAAGCATTTGGTCTTTAAAACGTGCTAAATAGCGCCTCTGATCCATTTAGTACTTTTTCTGCAATGAATATGCAATATGGGGCGTTTACACGCTAAAGTGCGTCTTGTGGGAGGAGAACATGTAAATATATTAATTTAGCACTCGCAAAGGGATTTATCAAACTTGAACGCAATTTTGCTAACGGTATCTGACTCTATATTTAACACGTTTCAAAAGAAGGTGCAAATGGTCTGTATGCGTAATTGCGCACACATGGCAGCGGTTATTGTCGCAAGAAGGAGACATGGAAATAAAGCAAGGAGACGCAGAGAACGCATTTTTTCACTCCGTGTGAATATTTTTGGAATGAACGAGGAAACGATCATCAAAACATATCGTTTATCCAGCATTGCCATTTTGGAACTGTTGGGGGAACTCCGAATGGATTTGGAGCCAGCCACAAGGAGGACCCACGCAATACCAGATATCACAAAACTCCTTGCAACATTGCACTTTTTTGCATCTGGGTCATTCCAGCGTACGGTTGCAGCGTGAGCTGGGATCTCCCAATCTCGTTTTTTCAAAAGTGCTGTCCGACGGGGTCGGGGTTCTCCCCCTGCGCCTGTGGAGCAACGTGCCAAATGCTGCGGGGATCTCATCCACAGTCACAGGCCAATACAAAACACCGGTTTCTTTTTTGTTTTGTTTTTTACTGCAGCACATACCACCTTAGGGAATAAAGGTTGCCAATTTATATATATATATATATATATATATATATATATATATATATATATATATATATATATATATATATATATATATATATATATATATATATATATATATATATATATATATATATATATATATATATATATATTTACTTATTTTTTTTTTTGTTGGGGGTCACTGTAAGATTTAAATTTCTTAATGCACTAGTCTGTACAGACTACAAACTACTTTGCCGCAAACCACAAAACGCGCAAAACCATCATTTAAATAGGGCGTCTCCAACAGTTTTGCACCTTCCACCAGTTACGCAATCACTCTTGTTAAATCACCCGCAAACCATGGTTCAGCCCCTCGCACAAAATTCCAGTTTGCGAGCGCAAATTACTGCACGCAAAATTGGATCTTGATAAATCCGGCCCTTAGTCTGCTTAACCCCCTCTCCTTTTCTCTTAGCTGCTTCTGTCCACACATGCTCCCAATTAGCTAATCCCTCCTATATATCCTCCTTTCTGCAGTTCTCCAAAGTGTCTCCTCATTTTGTTTCCCAAGTTCACTGCCTGTTCAGTCTGTATTTATGCTGCTGTTGCCACCAAATTCATCATTAAACCTACAAGAAACCATATCTGCGTCCATGTCTGCATTTGAGTCATCTACAAACTTCCACCAAACCTGTCACTAGTGGCCCTGATAAAAAAGCCAAGGGTACAGCCCTGATTTACATGTGGACTAATCTAACCCTGGGGTGGATTAACAGAATAAGGTCAGGTTATGGTTTAACCTGGAATACTTGGCCATGTTTACAGCCCAAAACAATGTTTTAAATTTCCCAGGATACAAGTGTGACATGCAGCAAAATAATATATTTTTCTTGTGCATCTGCTTCCCAACTAAAAATATAAAGAGTTACGTATTTGGAACTTCAAATAAATAAGACTGGAAATGAAAAGTGCAACATATGTTTAGTGTCTGCATCTGTTTGGCTCTCTGTGGCTCTTTTGTGAATGTGACTGGATGTTTGAATTTGTCATTGTCTACTTGTCAGGTTGAGTGTTTGCCTCACCTGCAACAACTACTGAACATTTTAGGCCCCACGTATGAGCAGGGCCTACCTCCTTGCCCTTTTTATGTTCCCAACCATTGACAGGTGCCTGTGTCTGCTGGTTTTCTGATAGTTATTTAGAAATGGGGTTGGTTACTTCATTGGGCAAGGTCTCATTTCCTGGTGGCTGCCAGGCAAGGCCTAGGCCTCCTGGGGCCAATCACACCTGCTATTATTAATATTTTCATTCAGAAGTTTTGTAAACCTTTATTCATGAGCATGCCCATGCATAGATACCACAGGAGTTGGGTTTCTGGTGTTCACGGATACACACTAATCCTAACTGCTAATCTGCAGCTACAGATATGTGCCACTACAATAATGTTTTATAATTATCCAAACACATACATATCTAAAGGATCTTAAAGCTTTTTTGATATTTACTTTGGTTGTCTGTTGTCTTTTTTTTGATGTTGTTATGTTTTCTGAGTGGGACAGCAAACTTCTGGTGATATCAATGGGACAAAACGTAAAACAGCTGAGCAATAATGATTCTTTTAAACTTGATAGATGAGTTATCAATCAACAGGAAGCATTTGAAACGGTATTCATGACTAAAAGGTCATCTATTATTTATAGAAAACAATAAACAATTTAGGAAAAAATGTATAAATAAGTAGAAATCAGTCATCAAATTTCTTCAAAAAAATACTAATATTAAAGATGAAAGCTTCTGGATTCTTGAGAAATTCAAGTGGTAAAGATATTTTTTCTAGATAGCATAACGTCAACAAAGTATTTAGGGCAGAGCAACAAAAACATACAAAACTAAAAACCTAATCAAGGCAAATGCTTTATGTGAGTATGGATTTTACATGTTCTCCAGCCAGCCAAACAAAAGCAAGTTAGTTTGATTCGTGTATTCTACATAATTCTTATGAGAGTCTCTGCATACATGGTTGTCTCTGTGTACACTATTATGTTTCCTTGACAGTGGGCTTGAGAAGTGTACAGACTGTTCACAAATATTTCACATTGACCTCTGCAGATAAACAAGCTGGTGTAGATGATTAAAAAGATATGTAAAGAGCGTGTACAGAGGTCTGCAAAATAGTAAAAACTTACAAAACTTACATAGCATGAATGATTAGTGTAAAGCATTTTGCTAGCTTTAAGTTCAACAACTGTAAGTAGTTAACATTTTGGACAGATTTCTTCTGGAGCCCTGTTTAAACACAATTTTGTTTAGCCATGCACTAAAATAGAGAGCACTTGATTTCTGGTAAATCACATGATTTTGGGGAAATTTGGCTCACTTGCAATGACCAATGAGAAGAGAGTTACACATTGTGAAACCTAAGAAAACACTTTCCCCACTGTGAGCCAAACAGTGAAACAAACAATTTTAAAGCCAAGTTAAAAGAATCCCATCTCTTAAGCTCTTGCAACTTGTGCTTCAATCTGATTTATATTTTTACTCTTCTTGATATATAAATTATTATGGGCACAAATGCTTAAATACATTTTCTGGTATTAAGAATGCTGTATGATTATTTTTCTTCATCACATAACATTTTATAACCTTTTAAATGATTTTGTTGCCTTTTAACACATCTAATGAAGAACAGACTGCTTTCTGGTGATTGCTTTTCTCCAAAAGACCTCACTAAGTTGTCTCAGCAGTGAAAAACAAACTGGGAACAATGTCAGGTGCAGTGATTGAGAAATAAAGGGGTGGGAGCCTTATAAAACAACAATTTGGGGGAGCAGGCAAACAAAGGCAGAGTAACAGAGACAGCAAAATGAAGTGCTGTCTGGTTTTCGTTCTTCTTCTCCTTTCAGCTCTGAAGGAGACATTGGGCGAAAGGTAAATAAACAGATATCTATTGTTTATGCAATGTCTAACAACTTTTTGTCATGCATGTGGACAACATTAATTAGTGTGGCTAAATTTATTTCGCTAATCATTCCAAAAACTTTTTTCCCCCAAATTATTGTATATAAACTAACTATTATAAAATGCAAAATACATGGCACAACAGTTTATAAGCATGCATTTAATTTAGTAAAATGTTAAGCATGCCACTTAAGGATAGAATACAATCTGAACATTGTTAATTTGTGTACAGAGTCTTCATCACAGCCCCAAATGTCTTTCACCTCGGTGTCAAAGAGAAGGTGCTTGTCCAGGTTGGAGGTCAATACCTAAACAAACGGTTCAAAGTATACCTGGAAAGCCAGTATGGGGCTCTCGTGTCTGAACAGGAAACTGCAATGTGTCGCACAGAAGATAAACCAGACACAGTTGAGCTAATGGTATAAAAGTTCCTTTGTACAGAATGTAATCTGAAAACTAACATACATTTTATTTACTGTCTTTCTTACCTGCATGTTCACAGATAGACAGAGACCAATGGTCAAAAATTGGTAAAATACCTTATCTCCATCTTGTGGCGGAAATCCCTAATGAAAGACAGAGGACAATAACAAAGGTGCTGGTTTCAAAACACAGGGGATATATCTTCATACAGACTGATCAGCCAATGTATAACCCAACACAGAAAGGTAAAAGCTATAAGCCAATTTTCCTAACAATTTACAATACAGTAGAATTAAACATTCTTTGTTATTTTATTGTAGTGAATTACAGGATCTTCACACTTAACCACATGTTAAGGCCACATGAGGAATCTGTGTTGATATCAGTGTTTGTGAGTAGATTTTTTTCACTCCTATTAAAGGTCCCAAAATAGTGTACATTTGAAAATAAAATCTTAACAGTGAGGACCTCAGAGCATGTTTGTAGCATCTGTGCAGGAATATTTCTCTCAGATTAGTCAGACAGCCTTTACTGAAAATTGTCTTATTAAGCCCTCTTCTAAATGAGTTGTTTTGGCTTTCCACAACCCCATCCTCCTGAAGGCCATGTCCCCACAACCTGCTACCATGACAACCAGTCAGTGTTCGTAAAGATAGCCTCGAAGCATGGAATAATGCATAAAATGAAGCCTGTAGCTGTCTCTCTGTTGCTGCAAGAGACAGAGGGCCGGATTTATCAAGATCCAATTTTGCGTGCAGTAATTTGCGCTCGCAAACTGGAATTTTGCGCCAGGGGCTGAACCATGATTTGCGGGTGATTTAACAAGAGCGATTGCGTAACTAGTGGCAGGTGCAAAACTGTTGGAGACGCCCTATTTAAATGATGGTTTTGTGGTTTGCGGCAAAGTAGTTTGTAGTTTGTGCAAACTAGTGCATTAAAAAATTTTAATCTTACAGTGACCCTCCCACCCCCTCCAAAAAAAGAAATATATATATATATATATATATATATATATATATATATATATATATATATATATATATATATATATATATATATATATATATATATATATATATATATATATATATATATATATATATATATATAAACTTTGGCAACCTTTATTCCCTAAGTGGTATGTGGCTGAATTTCTACTTCACCGCAGTAAAAAAAAAGAACAAAAAAAAAAACCCAGGTGTTTTGTATCGGCCTGTAGAAAAATGCACATACCAAATGGCTCACAAGAAGTGACTGTTGATAAGATGACTGCGCGTATGCATCCCTGCAGCATTGGCATGTTGCTCCACAGGCGCAAGGCGGGAGGTCGGGGTTCTCTCCGGTAGGGCGTCAGGGCGACTTGGCATTTAGAACGTCGGACAGCACTTTTGAAAAACGAGATTGGGAGATCCCAGCTCTCGCTGCAACCGTACGCTTGAATGACCCAGATGCAAAAAAGTGCAACGTTGCAAGGAGTTTTGTGATATCTGGTATTGCGTGGGTCCTCCTTGTGGCTGGCTCCAAATCCATTCGGAGTTCCCCCACCAGCTCCAAAATGACAATGCTGGATAAACGAAATGGTTTGATGATCGTTTCCTCGTTCATTCCACAAATATTCACACGGAGTGAAAAAATGCGTTCTCTGCGTCTCCTTGCTTCATTTCAATGTCTCCTTCTTGCGACAATAACCGCTGCCATGTGTGCGCAATTACGCATACAGACCATTTGCACCTTCTTTTGAAACGTGTTAAATATAGAGTCAGATACCGTTAGCAAAATTGCTTTCAGGTTTGATAAATCACTTTGCGAGCGCTAAATTAATATATTTACATGTTCTCCTCCCACAAGACGCACTTTTGCGTGTAAACGCCCAATATTGAATATTCATTGCAGAAAAAGTACTAAATAGATAAGAGGCGCTATTTAGCACGTTTTAAAGACCAAATCCTTTTAGCACGCTGTTGATAGATCAGTTTGTACATTTTTTAGCGTGCGCAGTGAAATAGCTCACGTTTTAATACACGCAAACCTTTGATAGATCCGGCCCAGACTGCTTTGGGCAGCTTATCTCCCCTTATGACATCATAAAGGACATGGTTTTCAAATAGAACATCTTAATTAACATTAGCTGAGAGGTGGAGAAATGCAGTGAGCGAGGGCAAAGTTTTTTTCATTTTTGGATCCCATACACAGGCTTCAGGACACGTTACCTTTCTAAAATATTTATAAAGTGAATTTTTCTTAATACGGGAATTTTGATGTTCAGAACAGATTTTACAAAACAATTTAATGTGCAATATTCATTTCTTTGGTTTTAAACAGAATGCTGCTGGAAACAAAATAATGAACTCCTTGAGGACTGCAGCTGGAGGGATTTTCCAAGGCAATTTCCCTATACCAAGTGCATCTGAGTATGTTAAAGGAGTTTTGCTTTACATTGTGACTAACATCAAAATATAACCAACAGCAGTTATTAGAGATTTTTTCTTGATATAGAATGGGCACTTTCAAGATCACAGCACACTATGAGGGTGATGAAGCAAATGCAGCTGTACGAGAGTTCAAAGTCCAAAAGTTTGGTAGGACAAATCGGATTTAAGATGTTGATTTTTTTGCTCAAATCATCCAAAATGTTCTGTTATCTTTTAAAATATATCCATACAAACCTGCCTTATTTTCCTCCTGTTTATAGTTTTACCAAGTTTTGAAGTAAGAATTGAAGCAGAGCGGCATTACATATTGTTGAATGATCAACAGTTTGACTTCACCATTTCAGCAATGTAAGTGTGAATCATCTTACTTGATTTCAAGGTTAACTTTCAAAATCGACATGATTTTTTAACAAATAATTTTGTACCCCAGTATGGTACTTAGGATCTCTTTTACAAAGGAATCTTTTACTTAGGATCTCCTTTGACAAATATTTTTGAAAGGCCTTCAAGATTACTTTAAATTAATTTGCATATTTAGAGTTTCAGTTGTAATCTGCAAAGAATTGAGTACCAACTTTTCAGGTTTCTTTTAGTATTTGTCCAGTTACTCTGAAAATCAACACAGATTTAACTTTCTGCTAAAAGCATATTGTAAATAAAATAAGAGTACTTGAAACCGAAATCTACCGGCGATATGAATACATTTTGTTCTTCTGGGGATGCATTTTGTCTACATCCAGACATTTTCCTGCTTTTTTTTTTAGGTATTCATACGGTGAAGAAGTCAAAGGTGGCTACCACTGCAAGTTTGGTGTTAAGAAGAATGGTGAACTGCAGATTATTAGTGGTCTGAAGCTGACTGGTTCGGTACGAGATAACTTTGTTTGCTGGCTTTTGTTTGGATCCTTCAGGTGTTGCTAAATTACAATAAACCTTATATTTTTTTCAGGTTCTGAATGGAAGAGCAACAGCCACTCTTAAGTTAAAAGACATTGACTGGAAACAGCTGGACTCCTCCCTCACTGAATTACAGAAAAGTGGATCTCAACTTTACATAGGAGTTTTTGTCACCAACATTCAAAGTAAAAGCACTCTTAATATCCTACTTTTGATATTCCTTCTACCTGGTAAAGACTTAGCAATTCTACTTAAAAAAGTAAAGAACTAGTTTAAAGGTAGTGATTATTATATGCAAAACAAAAAATAATCTTTTCTGTAGTATTTCTTAAATCACAAAGACACGAAACTCAATCTTGTTCTAATACCACTTCAACCATTCGAGACAGACTTAGACAAACTTTACATCTTGTACATATACAGAGTGTATACAGTCTGAAATTTCGATGTATACAGCTTTTCAAAAGTGAATGAGCAGCTTACAAAAGTGAAATTAACTTTACCATTTATAAAGTGCAACTGTGATCAGAATGTAAACAGTGTAGGAGAAAAGGAAAACCAGTTGGTTGTTTTACAAATATTGTAGTTTGTTAATATCGATGATAATATGTTATCATAACTCAAATGTTACCTATGGAGTACCACAGGGTTCAGTGTTCGGGCCATATTTTCTTTACTATATAATTACTTCAAATAGGTACAATTATTAGACAACATGAGATATATATAACTACTATTATGCTGATGATGCTCAACTGTTTTGTCCTTATTTTTCTTGTTGAATTTTACCAATTAGAGACAAAATACTATCACAGAAAATCTGCCAAGAGGTACACTTTTTTTCACACAAGGCTAATCCATTTTGGTTCATTTTAAATAATTAATGAATTGTGAAACTGTGTAAATTGTTGCATCTTTAGAAAAGTTAAGATTGGGATAATTTTTTAGGATCTTGGTATAGCCCAGAGCTTTCTATCATGGTCGATTCTTGAATAAGTGGAGGGACAGCATTGTCTTCATCAAGACTACATTTATTATTTAAGCTGTAGATCTATTTAACTTTTTTCTGATTTAAGTTGTTTATACACTAAAAATATCAGCCTTTATATTACCACAATATCTTAGTCATATGACTTTCTCCATTTATTCTTTAAGGTGGTGAAGTACAACAGGGAGACATTTACCTTCCCATCTTGTCACATAAATACAACATAGATCTGTCTCGAACTCGTTCACATTTTATTCCTGGTGTTCCACTAGATGTTGTGGTAAGTCAGAGTGCAATCTTTTTCGTGTTTTTTTTTTTTCTTCCCTTTGTTCGCTTATAATAATTTTATACTATTTTGTATTGTAGGTTGTTGTTCGTCACCCTGACGGCACCCCAGCAGTTCGTGTCCCAGTAAATATATCTATAAGTGCATCTGAACAGCCGTTTCATCAAGGCACCACAGATCAGGATGGAGGATTGTTTCATACCTTTAATATTATCTCTACCTCTGAGATTACAGTTGATGTTAGTATTTACAATTTCAGTCGTATGTGTTTCACTGTGGTCCACTTTCAAATGCTTCAGCCTTTGACTCTTGCAGGTTTCAACAGATGGTCTTCAAAGGAGCAAACATCTAAAAGCCAGTTCATCCAAAGGAGGAAGTTACCTTTACATATCAATTACCAACAAAGTTTACAATATGGATGAATCATTATCTGTAACATTTAACACTATCAATGGACCAAGCAATGGATATATATATTACCTGGTAAGTATAAGCGATATAAATCAGATACTGAAATCAGATACTGAAAAAACACACATTTCTATGTGAAAAGGAAATGAATTCAGACTAATGTCCTTTTTTATTTCACCAACTTCATTATTGTTTACAAAAAATTAACATAACGGGCAAGACTGTTTTGAAAGAAGTAACATGTGCAACTTTAATATATTTATTACCCACCCCTTTACGGTGGTAAATATGTTATTTAATCTGATATTATTTGGACTGTCATATATTGTGTATGAACACATGCCCTTCTGGCTGTGTGTAAGAAAAACAAATGAAAGTGCACGTATATGGCATACATTCATCACAACTTCCATTCAAAATATGAGTTTATTAACAAAAAATACCTCAGCTGCAAATCAAACATGTTTCAGTTAAAAACTCTTGATTAAATTACTAAAAACTAGGGAAACTCAACTTAACTAATCTACTATGGGGAAGGAAAAACGTGGTTGAAACCCATAATCAATGAGAAGATGCAATAATGTCAAAGTTTAGTATGGATTTTATGTTTGGGAACCAAAGTTTATTTTGGAGAATTTGGGATGTAATCAAATTAGCTTCTGACTAATTAAGAGCAGTTGGAATGTTTTCAAACCAATTCACAATGCAAATCAATGACTTGAATTAAATATTGTTAGGCCTTTGTCCCACGTGCTACAAACCAAGGAAAAGGCTTCTTTAGGAGACTTTAACCTCCAGTCTGGGTCTGTAAGTTCTGAAGCTCAGAGAAAAATTTCGTAAACATTCTGTTTTGCTGCAATTCAGTTATGAAATGTCAACCATCATGATTTAGCCTTGGTGATTCTGGAGATCTGGGTCTTGGGCAAAGCACCATGAGCTTGTCTCATCCAATTTGAACCCCAGGCAGCTTCATGGAAAGAGACAGAAATCCTGTGTGCTGTGTGTTTTTGTCGTCAACACAGTGATGGGGAACATTTCTGCAGGAGGTGTCTTGTAGACTGAGTTGGGGGACGTTTTTCAGAAACTTTAAGAGATTATTAACATGGTTTATGATCCAACAAATACTTGTTCTTGGAGTGCATTAAGTGTCTTATGCCTGTAAACAATTTGGGAAAGTACACATGCTTAAATCAAAGCTTTGTAAATTTGTGAAGTTTGATAAGTTCACATTTGACTTCGATCAGAACAGTAGGACCGAGTATTCAAGGAAGAAATCCAGTCGGTCAGGCAAACAGATCAGAACAGAGACAGGCGGGCTCAGAGGTCCAGTTAAAGAAACCGGTCAGGGTCAGGCAATCAGAAACACTCAGGTATGCTAGAGAACTCTCCCCCAAGACTTGAGGGCTCTTACCAAAGGCTTGAAATGCTTGAAGGCTGGTGAAACAGAGGCTGAAGCAGGTGGATCAGATGAAAGGTAATGAGTACTGGGCAGAGATAGGCTGGTGGATGAAGTCATCAGTCCCAAGATCATCAGAAAAATCGAGGTCATCAGCCGATGACCTTAATTCTTGTCCTCCTTGGACAAACATGTGGATCCAAGGTGCGTCCACTGGGTGAGTTTTACATCAGAAAATGATGCAAAGCCCACCATCAAAGGAATCCACAGCAGTGTATACATGTTTTATGAAGAAACGAATCATGTCTTTCGGTCTGAACACTTTAGCATACTCAACTTTTAGTAACATATTTGGATATTTTTGAAAATACCAAAGCCAACACCTCATAAGGCATATTTCAACCAAGTTTTGTTTTTTACTAAAAACATATCAAATTGAAAATATTTATATCATGCTGATGGGATATCATATTAGCAAATTGTAACAATTTACAATTTCACAAAAGACAGTTGTTATGTTTTGCAAGGTTTTTGTTTAAGTTAGACAATGCTAATTTTTCTATGTGGACAGTATTAAGTCTGTCGGATGTGTTAATTCATGAAATCTGTTGTGAACTGTCACTTCAGTCTATATTTGCCAAAAAGGGGGTACATTTTAGGCTTGTTTCAGACTGTCAGCTGTACAATGCCACTAAAGTTTGCTTCTGAATTTTATAGTATCTTGAGATAATCAAAACAGACTCAATTATCACAACGTATTCACAACCACAGACTCTCTTGAGGAAGTTTCTTAGTTGACAAAAAGTGCCCAGCATTATTGTAAAATTTACAGATATTCTACAGAATATTTTTTTCCCACTATTATGTAAGTTTTCAGTTGAAGTTGTTTTTACCTGCTAAAATGAATGAAAATCAACTTTACACTTGACAATGTTAACAACAAATGAGAATCTATTACGGTACTATAAATAAGTGCACTGTATAGTGAACTAATTTTAAAAAGTCAGGTAAGAGGTAAAGATAAGAGCGGATAATATTGGCCTTAAAGTTTAGTAGGTATCAAGAAATTATTTTTTCAAGATTTTTTTCTCATTATTATTATTTTGATATGGTTGAAAGTTGAATACTAATGGAAATGACAAATGGTGTATGACCTATAGCCTTCCAGCACATTTGTCTTGGTGGCCTAAGAAATAACCTGCACTGTACCTCAAACTCATAGAATGTCTATATGCAGATTCAACACTGAAATAATTTGTGGCAGCAAGGAAGCCAACAAAGTTACTCAGTTACAACAGTTCCGTAAGAAAGAATTGAGTCAAAATTCGAAGAATTTAGATAATGGAGACAAACTAGTGATGAATAATAACTTTGCTTTCATGTCTTGCAGGTTTTGAGCCGTGGAACGATAATAGAAAATGGTTCACTTCCCATTGGTATATCAGTTAAACATAATTTGAGAATAACAGCTGATATGGTTCCAGCCTTCCGCCTAATTGGCTACTATCACAGCAAAAATGACATCATAGCAGACTCTGTTTGGGTCGATGTCAGGGATGAATGTGAGATAAAGGTCACGGTGAGTAAACAGAGCAGATAAGTGTTATTGGGAAACCCAAAAAAAAAAATTTCAGTTCATTTGATGATGTCCTAAGGGTGGACTGTTCTTATATTATTTGTGAGAGCTATGGCTGAAAGGTATTTTTTTGGAAGTCAAAAAAATTTATTCTTAATTTGACTTTATATATAAAGTACATGCGTGTATAACACAGCTCATATAAGATTTGTTTTTAATAAGGTTAAATGCAAATTAATACATAAAATATTTTTTGAACATTTTCTCACTTAGGTTCAACACAAAGGACAGGCTAGGCCAGGAATACAAACTGAACTGGAATTGGATTTACATAGGCAGACAGCTACAGTGGCTTTGCTAGCTGTGGATAAGGCTTTCTATGGTCTCAAAGCTGATAATAAATTGACACCCAAACAGGTAATAAACATCTTTTAGTGATGTTCTAATCATAGGACATTTTAGAAATAGCAATCAGAACTAGTTTCCTTGTATTTGCAGGTATTTTCTACAATGGCCTCATATGACCTCGGCTGTGCATACAGTGGAGGATCTGACCCAGAAGCAGTGCTCCTAGATGCGGGCCTTGCTTTTGCTTCTCAGTCTGTGCAAAAATGGAGGACAAGTAAGAAAGAAATCTATCAAGCAAAGTTTTATATGTAACTGAATATTCAAGTGTGGTACTGCACAAGTTCAGAACAATACTCAATTTCTGAGTTTCAGAACTTGGTTTCCAAAATAACAATGAAGTATTCCTTAACATTCACTTTAGAAACTTACTTTTGGCATAATAAGACATCAAAAGGTACCATAATTCTCGTCCCCGCTGGTTTAATGATTTTATTTATTAGTATGACACCATGCAGATATTTTGCATCTCGAAGACTTAAGGTTTTTCTATTAATTTGGTGGCACGAACAATATACAACACAACACAACGAATATATTCATTATTTATTGCTTTTGTTAGTTTCAAATTGTTCCTGTGACCATTTTTAATCTTCTTTAATTAATCAAGGGGTATAGACTATTTTGTCCTTGTTTGTTTAGGTTTTTACGCATTGGTGGTATTGCTGCATCTACACTTCAAACCCAATACTTAAATTTCTCAGGGAATGGGGGTGGGGATAGAGTTTCTTCTAAACACACTAAACACCTCAGTTGTGAAAAATCAGACTTGGATGGCTCTGATATTGAGCTGAAAAAGCTTGAACTACCTATTTGATGAAGTGCTCATCATTGTTTTGCTTTATCAAAAATGTAACAAGTTATCTGCTGCATCACTTGATGTACTGAAATTCTTTCAATCTATACTTCATATGCAGGTATAACGTGTGAGTCACAAAATGTGAGACCAAGGCGTTCAGTGGACCTCAATGAGGAAAAAATTAAATTGAGTAAGATTTTAGACCTGTATTTCCTTTGAATAAAACATCTATAAAGAAAAAAAAAATGAAAACGCATGTTTTTTTTTCTCTTCTAGAATTAGAGTTTCAAGATGCTGACCTCCAAATCTGCTGTAGCCATGCATTTTCTCGCATCCCAATGAGAGAAAGTACATGTCTGAAAAGATCAGAGAGGGTCCGTCTAGTGAAAAGAAATCAGACATGTGCGGATGCCTTCCTAAAGTGCTGCCTTGCAGCAGAGAAGCTGAGACAGAGAAAGATGATAGAGGATTCTCAGAGCCAACTTGGAAGAAGTAAGATTATACACATTAACAATATTTCTATTGACTTAACTCGGTATTTCCCAAATATAGTTAAAGTTGTTTATATAACTAATGCATGTTTTCTTTCCGTTAGCTGCAATTACCGATCTAATGGAGGATTATTTTTTCAGAACTGAGAAAATGAGAAAATTTTTTCCTCCAAGCTTTGAGTTTAAGCATTTTTTGGTAAATGACAAAAAAAGGTAAGAAGTTATCAATTAGAATGTGGTGATATTTATAATGGCTGGATCATACTGTTGCACTCTGCCACAGCAAGCATAGAAAAATGTAACAGTTTGACTCTCTTTATTCAGTGCAAAATATATATCCAAACTGATTGACTTATGCAAATTGTGTTAAATAAAAATAGAAACAAATTTTCATACCAGTGTTAATATATTTTTTTAAGTATACTTTGTTGAAAACATTTTAGGCATAATTTATTCCTCCCTGACTCCATCACCACTTGGGAGATTCAAGTTATCACACTATCTCCAGAAACAGGTGAAACTACAGAATGCAAAAGGAACACTTTGTTTGAGAATAGCCTTTTAATAATGGCCAAATAAACTTGTGTTCTATTCCCTACAGGTCTGTGTGTAGTTAAGCCACTTGAGATCAGAGCATTTAAGGAGACATTTGTGTCGCTGAGGCTGCCTTACTCAGTGAAAAAGTTTGAGCAACTCTCAATTTCGCCTGTTATCTACAACTACGGTGAAAGAAACTTACAGGTAATCAAATTTTATAGAATAAGTAATTAAAAAAACATAAACTGTTTATTTCAAATATTCTAAACATGATTCATACTGCTTTGTTATTACGCCTGCATTGCACAGTTGGCAGTACATATGGAACAAGTTGAAGGACTTTGCTCTCCTGCTTCCACCACCACCAACTCCTACACTGAAATCACTGTTAAGAACCACTCTTCCCAGCTGGTGTCCTTTTCAGTTGTCCCCATAAAAACTGGTCCATTACCAATTAAAATCCGCCTGTATGATATTAAACATGACAATGGAATAGATCAGCTACAAAAAACCTTAAAAGTACAGGTAAAAGACTTGGAGTTCTGTTCAAAATTGATTTCAAGAAGGAACACAAGGCAGTGATACATGCTGATAGAAATCTTATTTTTCTGATTCATTTTGATGAAGACTGAAGGACAGTTGGAGAAAAAGGAAACAACGACTATGATCAAATTGGATGGTGAGTTTTCGTTATTCCTTAGTGATTCTTGCTAAGTTTTAATTCTTAGATCTACCTCTCTGTAACAACAGGACGGAGTTCAAAAATTATCTACATTGATGGAACTTTGCCAGATGGCACAGTACCTGACTCAGGCTCCAGTATATTCTTATCCATACAAGGTAGGTTGCTGTTAGATTTAGACATAGAACCCAGGTAAGAAACAATATAAATCTGATTCTTTTATCTCTTTTATCAACAGAAAACCACTTTAATAGTTCATATGTGAAGAAACTCCTTTCCCCAAAGAAGGTTTCACAACTTATTACTCTACCGAGTGGCTGTTTAGAACAGACGATGAGGGGATTAATGCCAACAACTTTAGCTTTGCGCTACCTTGACTTGAGTGGCGGGTGGTTCAGTCTAAATTCTGTTGCTCGAGATAAGGCTCTTGATTACGTTGAACATGGTAAGAAAATGTCACAGATAATATTTGTTTGCTAAGTATTTAAATTTTCCATTAACAACATTTACAATAACATTTAAAAAGAATGTTAAAAAAAATCATAAGCATAATCATTGATGATATACAAAGAATTTTATTTCATTATTGTTATTATTTTCAACTTCTTCAGAGCTTCCCTTCTGATCAGTCTCAGGGTGTACATCATTCTGCTTGTTCATAAATGTGATCCAAAAAACTTCTGAGGCCTTTACAGAAATTATGCATTTATAATGAGATTGAAATTTAGACATAGGTGACTCTTGTAACTAATCATGTCACCTATATAAAGGAATGGATTTTAATTTGCATATCATAGTAAAGGGGGATGAATACAAATAAATGCCATAATCTTTTAGAAAAAGAAAAAAAGAAGAAAAACCTTAAGCTTCAGCCATGTATTAACTTATGTTACTCTTTTATCAAAAATGGAAAAAAGGAAATACTCCTCCAGAAGTCTAAGCTTATAGCAGCATAACTATAGAGATAGCTCAGGATAACCTGAGCTATCTCTAACTATAAGCTTTATCAAAAAAATACATTTCAAAGGCTCTTATTTTTAACTCATGTGCTCCTTATGTGATGAAATCATTTTTAGGCTATATCAGAGTTTTATCATATAATAATTCCAATGGATCCTTTGGATCATGGACATCAGTGGCACCAAGTAACTGGTGAGTAAATATCTTAAATCCTTTCCATTTGTATAAAAGTTTCACATGTTTTGACCGTGATGAAATGAATAGTGTGTATATCAATTAAAAAAGAAAAAAGCTTGAATAGCTGCAATAGCATGACCTTGAACCTGTTTTTATTACATTTCAATGTTTAATCTTCTTTGGAAGTCCTTCAGTCTTGCGCTTTTTGACTTGTTAATACTACCCACTTAGGCCTCTCTAAAAATTTCCAGATTAATTAGACTAGGCATTAGTGCCCTTCTGAGTAAAGGTCATACACTCAAAACAAATATACTCTGCAACATGTCTTGTTCACAGACTCAAGTAACAAATAAAAAAGTTGCATTGACCTTCAGCTCTTTATCTTTAAGGCGTGATGTCAAAACTGGCAGAGATTGGCAGATCACATTTGAATCTGAATTGAAAAAAAAAAAAAAAAAAACATACCATTAGTGCTATCTTACTGTATACTTTGATGTTTCATCACACCAAAACAACCAAAAAACTTTTTTTCAAAGATTTAGCCAGACATGAAGGTATCCTCTATAACAGGAGTCGGCAACCGGGGCTTCTGAGCCGTATGCTGCTCTTTAGCTACCCCTTTGCGGCTCCCTGGGGTTTTTTCAAAAATTTATGAAAATTGATTTTTTTTTTCTTTTTGTTTATTTTATCAATATGGTGTGCAGGTCAAACAAACATTCAATATATTTTCCAATGCTTTACAAATTTGTATAATAAATAACTTTAAACAATAAATGCAAACATTTCTTTCAATGAAAATTTGCATCATAGCCTGCAACCCAGGTTTCAGCATGGAACGATGCCAGGCAAACAGGAGGAAAACAGGAAGATAGCTGATAAGAAAGATGATTCAAAGAAGAATGGAGCGAATCATTTGCTTTCATTATCAATGTGGAAGGATTGCCTGCGTTTTTGCTTTGTAATGTAGAGGTTATCAAAAAAATAAAAAGAGTAATTTGGAAAGGCATTTCCAGGGAAGGCAAGCTAAATATGCAGCCAACCACCAAGTTTGGAGTGAGAGAAAAAGTGCGATTGCAGAACTTCTAGCTGAATTAGAGGAGAGCAAAGATAGATTTAAAGCTACAGTGTGTAATTTTCAGCGACATCTAACGTCCAGACTGCAGACCGCAGCAACATGAACATCTCCCCCCCACCGCTTCTCCCCCCCAACAGTACGGCGAGCGTTACGGGACAAAATGTCTTCCACGACGTCCGTATCACCTACCTTCTCAAGTGATGAGGTTTGTTTACATAGATAATTTTAATACTGCCATCTATTGTTCAGTACCGTCTCAGTTCATCTCTCTCAACTTGCCGTAGTTACTTTCGAGCGTAATGGGCGATCTCGCAATCGCTAGTTTGTTGGCTCTGCGCTGCCGTAGCGCAAAGATGTCTGCCTCCATGGCTGCGAGACCCGCTCCTATGTAATTATAAATAACGAATTCTAAGGCAACGCAAATATTAAGGTTAAGAGGCTGAGCTCGTAGATGATGATAAATAACATAGTTATGTATAATATATTACATTTCTGACTGTATATCCCTGTAATTATTACACACTGTAGCTTTAAGAAGTAGATTGCATTTCCAAACTCCACTACTGCTGCTGGAAAACCACACACAGATCGAACAGGTAGTTCTCTGATGCAGGGATGTGAACTTTCTTCCATTTTTTCCCAAAATCCTCAAAACACATAACATACATAACATATAACACCAAGGAAGGCTGGTGACAGAGGATGTGAGATTTTGAGGAGAGCACTGGTCTGATGGATGTCAGTTCCTGCTTGGTTCCTCATGACTCAATCAACTCCTCCCAACAGAAACACGTCCACCATAGAAAGACCCTTTATCGTGTTTCTATAATTTCATCCAAAACCTAGGGCAGTGAAGCGGCACGCGGTGAATTCCACGCGGTGAGAGCGTTCACTGCTCCTCCTTCACCTTATACTTCTATGTTACATTTGCTCCAGGATAAACATTTAATGATGAATGCTTGTTATATATTTAAGACCACGTAGTCCTTTTTATGGTGGGCTAATACACTTAGAGCTTAAAGAACACTTTACATTTTTGCGGCTCCAGATTTTCTTTTTGGTTCAATAGGGCTCTTTGAGCAGTTTGGGTTGCCGACCCTTCTCTAGAAGAACATCTGTCTTCCAACTGTACTTAGGCTATCTTTGCACAGTTATCAAATGTGGGTCAAATCCAATTTTATTGCTCCTATAGGACTTATATCTGTCTTTTTCACAGCAGTATAAACTTCCCGATCCTGATCTTTTCACTCCCCTCAAAAAAAATAATTCTAATTCAGCCACATCTTTATGTGGTTCTAAATTGGATACAAATCCAAAGGTTTCCGAAGCATCTGAAGCCTATGTAGTAGTCATGTCACATTATATCGAACTTATACATCATTGCCAGGGCCCCCACTACACACCCGTACAGTTTTTTCTGCAGCAGCAGCATCACTGATTGCTTGTAAAACTGGTACTGCAAATAATTGTCTGCTTTTTCTCTTACCTTCCTTTTTTTCTTTGTTCTGGTGGGCCATAATACTGTCATTTTCCATCATTTAAAATTTAAATTATAACAGGGAGACACTGGAATCCACACTGGTAGCAAAACAAATAAAACTGTTTGAACACAAACTTAAACTAATGAGTTAGCAATTTAAATTCAACAGTCAAAGGCTCCTTTAAACAATTGAGTTTTTAACTTTGACTTAAAAGAATTCAGGTTTTCAGCAGTTTTACAGTCTTCTATTAAGTCGCAAGGACTTGCAGATACAGTTGAGTGCACAGATAATGTTGAGAGCAAGGAGCTGCTGTGTGCACCATCAGGGAGGAGCGCAAACATGAAGTTAAGTCCCTGCAAAGATAGATCTGTGTTCGTTACCAGTTACTTCTCTCAAAAAGTAAATTAAAGAGTTAATAACTCAGTTACTGCTAAATCAAAGTAGCTAGTTAATAGGCAAAGTAACTAAGCAGTTACTTTACAAAATGTAAAATCTCTTCATTTTAATGAATTTAGTTTTATCGACACTTTCGGTACAACTTGGAGTTCAATCATTAAATGTAAAAGATCAAAAGTGTTCATTTTGTAATGCAAATAGTGTCTAAACTAGAGATGTTATACAATGATTTAAACTATGAGCAATCACAAAAATAAAAACAGTTCATTCCAAATCTTTCAAACTTGCTTCATCCAGCTGGTCATTTTTTCATGTTTAATCAATGGATTAAAATTTTTAACATGAAATTGGTGAATCTAAGATGCAATCTTAAAGGTATGGTGGAGGATGTTCTTTTTCCGGGTGGATCATCAAAAAAAAGTAGTCTTCCTAATTGTGAATCATTCTGGTGATGCGTTAACGTAAGGCCGTCCTACGTGCTCATCACCATTTTTATTTACCAGTTGCGAGTCTGATATAGTGGAAAAATCACAAATCTTCTTTTAAAAAGTAAGATGGTATGAGCGATGCAAACGCCAACAGAGTATGCACAAGGAGAAATGGGCTCGTACATACTCTCGCACCCCTTTAATTGGCATTCCCTCTTGGGATTGGGTACAGGGCTGTGCGTGTGCTTTATTTTATAGTGGAGAGGGCGGATGTTTTCAAAAATTCACGAAAATCCTCCACTATGCCTTTAATCACAAAACATGTGAACCCACAAAAAGCCCATTTTTTCTTTAAAAAAAAATCTTTTTGTATTCTTTTCCCCTAAGGTTGACTGCTCTCGTAGTAAAGATTCTATCTCTGATTGCGGAGAGTCAAAATTTTGGTGGTCGAGTTCAGGGTCGAAGCCTTAGAATGGTTCAAGAAAATGAGATCAACCACCCTGTCAGTTACTTGGTTTCAATACAACAGAGTGATGGCTCATTCAGAGACCCTAATCCTGTGTTACACAGAGATGTTCTGGTAAGCAAATATAGGACACATATTAATAAATATTGAAATAAAAGACAAACTCTGTCTATGTTCTATGTAGACAGGAAAAGACCGAGATGCATCCATGACCGCTTTCATCACCCTTGCACTGAACCGCTCCCATGGATTTCTTCCACCAGAAAATCTAAATGTTGTGGTACGATTTTCAAACATGCCCTGCTGGATGTCCTTTTTAGTTTCCAAGTGGACTACAAAGCTTTTTTTGCAGTTATTGTATTAATTGAAAGTGATTTTTTTTTTTTTACATCCCAGCTTTGTTGCTCAAGGACAGTTCTTTAGATATGTCTTGACAACAAATCTTTTGAATCAAATAGAAAATGGAACATGTTTTAAAGCTGTTTTAATCACCTACTACATTCTTGTCAGGTTTTTGGCTTTAATTAGATTTATAAATAAGCGATTACTTGGTATTCATGTTTAGTAATGGGCTAATATATTGGCAGAAAATTTGTGTTGCTATCACTTTACTTTAATATTCTAAAGAACAATTGTCAGTAACATTCTGTAAAATAGTAATCAAATGTCTACTCTCTTACAGGAGACAAGCATCTCAAAGGCAACAGCTTATCTCCAGTCCCAAATTGAAGAGCTCAGCCATCCCTATGCAGTGGCTATTACAGCTTATTACCTATCAGAGGGGAATGGTCAATCACGCGCATGGCAGAAACTTCAATCTATGGTGAAAAGAGGCATGTACAGTCTAATTTGTGCTTAGAAAAACCCTCACACTGTTTTATATGAACCTATTCTATATGTATCAGATTCCTCCATCAAATAGAGGTTGAAATAAGATATGAAATATGCATTATTTTGTTTTTCTTGTCTGATATTGAAGGCAACCTATCAATTTTCTGTTATAGGATTATTACAGTTTTCAAAACAGTTTATTTCTTGTCATATTTGTATAATAGGTGAAAGTACATTTTTTTTATCTATTGGCACAATGTTTAGTCATTACACTATTCTATGTTCTAGAAATCAACAAGTTTTTGTGAAAAATATGCTTATGAACAAAAAACAATAGCAACAGACTTTGTTAAGACTGACTGAAGTTAAATGAATTCTGGACAAGTTTTAGCTTAAAGGCCAGAGGTCAGGTTACAGTTTGGTGCAGGAAGAACTGGTTTCAGTGGGAAAGAAAATACTGAAGGCAGGTGACATAACCTGGAAACAAATGTTTGCATGGAAATGGGTCTTGCAAATGGACACTTAACATGCTACCGAAGTAGTTACAAAGAGGTTGTAGGAAAAAAAAAGTCAATATACCCTGAAAATTCATCTGTGAGCAGGGATACAACCATACCTGACCCTCTTGTCTGGAGAAAAATATCATAATTTCAGTAAACAATAGTGAGAAGCTTGATGAGAGAGTCCTAATGTTTGAAGTTAACCATGAAAGGATTCAGCCCCCTTGAACTTATCGACTTTTTTTAAGAAAAAAAAAAAAATTGGGTATGAAAAATTATTCAGCCCCCTTGAGTTAATACTTTGCGGCACCACCTTTTGCTGTGATTACAGCTGTAAGTCGCTTGGGGTATGTATCTATCTATCACTTTTGCACATCGAGAGAAGGAAATTTTTGTTCATTCTTCCTGCAAAATAGCTTGAGCTCAGTGAGGTTGGATGAAGAGCATTTGTGAAAAGGAATTAGGTTTAGGATCATTGTCTTGGTGAAAGATAAATCTCCATCCCAGTCTCAGGTATTTTGCAGACTCCAACTGGCTTTCTTTCAGAATGATCCTGTAATGGGCTCCATCCATCTTCCCATCAATTTAAACTATTGTCCCTATTCCTCCTTAAGAAAAGGAGGCCCAAACCATGATGATGCGCCCACCATGTTTGACAGTGGGTATGGTGTGTTCAGGGTGTTGAGCTGTGTTGCTTTTACATCAAATATAACATTGTTGCATTGTTGCCAGAAAGTTTGATTTTGGTTTCATCTGACTAGAGCACCTTCCTCCACATGTTTACACATGCTCAACTGACTCTGAGTGGACCTACTTAGAGTTGATTTGACTAATTCATAGCAGCTATTGGGAAACCGAAAACTCACGGTTCCTGACATTAGGCTAGATCAATTTGGAGTTGCAAATTTTAATCAGAGTTTGTTAAAGTAGTTTCGTGAAACGGAAACCACATGCATTTTTTACAGAGACTTGATTACACTCAGTTGGATTCTTTTTTTTATCTTCAGTCATTTGGGTCAGCATTGGATTATTCAGAGATCCTTACTGAACTTCAGGAGAGCGATTGCTGCACTGAAAGTAAAGGGGCTGATTAATTGTGCATGCCCGTCTCTTCAGTTTTTTATTTGTTAAAAATTTTAAATTAGCCAATATGTTTCGTTCCACTTCATGATTGTGTCCCACTTGTTGATGCTCACAAAAAAATTACAATTTTATATTTTCATGTTTGATCCCTGAAATGCGGCAAAAGGTTGAAAATTCACGAGGGCCAAATTAGCGCTGTAGTTTTAAAGAGGATCCTGACAAATACAAATTTATGTATACAAAGTTTTACATATGAATCAAGTGCAAAAATACAAATATTTAAAGTATATAATCTCTAATAATTTACACATTTGGCAAATACAAACTATTTCTGTAATCCCTGTTGACCTAAAACAAGAAAATGATTTAGACAGTGAGACAAACAATTTCTATTTCCTTCTATACAATGTATTCTATGACTTGTTTCAATTAGAATCAGATGTTGGCACAATAAAGTGTTTTTTATATTTACCCAGCAGTTCAAAAAAAGCCTCACTAATATATAGCATTATTGATAGAAATTGGTTTTGTTTGTTTTAATTTGTTAAGCTTTAGAAAATATATATATTTTTAGAATGCAGGATACCTTTGATCCATTTTTAAAAGTAGGATAGCAAACTTGGTAACATGCACGCAAATTAACAGTATTTACTGTTTCTGCTTATAGCTTGTTAATTTAAAATACTACGGTAAGCAAATTGTAAGTGTCTTACACATTCACTCTTAATTGGCGCAGTCCAACTAACCTTTACACCACAGTCTAATCTAGAAATAATTGCTTTTTACAGTATATAATTTACAGCCTTAACATTTTTAGATATTAAAACAGTGCTCTGGCTCACTATAAATTACAGATAGAACAGAAAGCTTTTCCCATCATTTCAGACAGACTTTAGGTGTCTCTGGTCTCACTAATCTGTTATGGCAACACAGGAACACCAGCAGGTATGTGTAAATGTTTCCTGGCCGCTCCTACTGTAGGAACATAAACCCAGGGACCTTTTTCAAACAAGCTACTATTCTCAATTCTCCCATCTGCTTTAATGATTATTAGCATAAAACCAACATAACCAAATACATCAGGATTTATCAAGGTTTAAACTTGGAATTTTTTACCAAGTATGAGATCGTTGTAATCTCATAAACTATATTAGAAGGAGTTTCACAGCTAGCTGGTTATATCTTAAGTGCCTAGAAACCTTTGTCACTTTTAGCAAGTCATTAGTTATTTTTCTTTTATATTTTTCTATTTTTGAACAGACAAGAATGATTGCTACTACTGGACAGACACAGAAGCTATTAAAGCCATCACCATAGAGACAACAGCCTACGCTCTACTAGCTGCTGTAAAAATCGGTAACAAAAGTTGGTCAGATAAAATAGCCTGCTGGTTAGTCAGCCAAGAAAACTATTATGGAGGCTATCGATCTACTCAGGTAATTGCAATGTGTGACTGATAACAGAAACTTACATCAAAACAATCCTCTTTCTTTGAATACTGTAGTTTTTTTTAATGAAAATTAATTGTTCAATAATAATCTCTCTGGTCAGGATACCCTCATGGCACTGGAAGCCCTGTCAGAATATGCACTGGCAAATCCTAAACCTCCCATTATAGATGTAACAGCAGATATCAGAATCCCAGTGAAGACTGACATGGTTAAGCTTGCACTGGCAAACAGCGATAAGATAGTGGAAGCAGACCTAGAGGTATTGACCAACATTCCTGCATTAAATATTAATAGGACAATGAGGTGTCTTCCTGAAATAATCTTTTTTCGATTCATTTCTTTTTTCAGAAATTTACTGGGAACAACATTACAGTAGAATTGAAAGGACAAGGACATATCAAGCTGAAAGTAAGTAGTTTTTATTCGTCTTATTTATTTTATGATGACTGACATCTATAATATAGAGCAAATTCCTGGCTTATTTACAGACTTTAAAGACATACCATCTCCTGGACCCTGAAGATGGTTGTTCCAAACTTAATATTACTGTCAAAGTGGAGGGGAAAGTGGAGTACACTGGTAAGCTTTTTTTTTTTTTTTTTTTTTTTTAAACCAAAGACATCAGTAAAGACTCCATCTCATTATCTGCAGCAAAAATAAAAGAAAATTATGACTACTACGATGATGACTATAATTCTGCTGAGGAAAAGCAGACACGAGTAGCACGGTCGACATTTGAGGATTGGGATACTCCCACACGAAGCCGGAGAGATCTTGAAAATGAGATAAATTCAGATAGTATTGTTATCTATACTGTCTGTGTCAGGTTGGTTGACAATCCATATATATTTTGCTTTGAAGAGATATTTGTCCAGTTTTTTTTTTGTTTTGTTTTTTTTTGGTTTACATTTGTTTCTTTTTTTGGCACACTGAAATATTTCAGATAATTAAAAAAACTTTTTTTGATTTTTTATTTTTATTGTAGGTGTCAACACCTACAATTAGAAATTGAAACAAAAAATGGTAACTGCTCTTTAAAGGTGCAGTAGGAGATCTTTTCTGACACATTTTTTTTACCATGTGGCTTAAAGATCTCCCCACAGCCGCTTAGCAAGCAGTGAAATAGAAGTTCTGGAAGTGAAACTAAAATAAATGGTCCAGTGGTACAGTGAGAAATCAATGAATAACCCCAACCAATCAAAAAAGACGGTCCGTTGTACACGATTGGTTCCTGACACGTCAATCATGGTCGTCTACTTGTCTCTCCCCCACTGTGCGCGTACCCTGACACATGAATGAATCACCCCCCAATGCTCGTGCAGGACGGCATGGCTGGAAGCTTGCCACTGTTATGCTATGTTCACACCTAAAGCAACAAGAGCAGCAAAAACGAGCGTGCTGCTTAATTTTTAATGCTTGTACAAGTTTCGTTCTGATGTGGGGCTAAAGCATCTTTGCTAGGGTGACCAGATTAGAGTTTCTGAAAAGGAGGACACTTTCGACTACATGCTGCACTGCAGTCGACCAAAATCCCCGTTGCTGCTGAGGCTGCGTGGTGGAAAAAGTGTGTCTGATGCGCGTTGGGCGGAGCTACCCTATCCTTTTTCTGCCTGTAACAATGGCATCTATATATGCTGTGATCAGTGGATAAAAAGTAGTTTAAATATATTTTGAAGTGGGAAAGTCCACATGAAAACATCGTCAGGGCAGTCAGTTCATCCAGATTACCATCCTGCCTTCAAATATTATTTGCCGCTGTCACCAGGAAAGCCGCTGTTACTAGGAAACCTGTTCAATGCCAGCCTCTGGCTGGAAGGTGTTTTAAAGTACGTAATCCAAACTGTAGACACCAGGATAATAAAAGCGAACATGTTTTGCCAGGAGATTTCAGCATTTTAAGTTAATTTATGCGTTGATAAACAGTTTCAGAGGAGTGATCATAGTGATCTGCATCATCACTGCTCAGACAAGCTGCTCCGGCTGCTATAGACGCGCTGCAGACAGCATGCGCGTTCATGTGTTTTGAAGGCGTGGTTTCAAGGGGTGTTCTGAAGGGAGAGGCATGGTTGTGTATGTTCAAAAATATATCTTGCTGGAACCGTTTTTTCAAGATCTCCTACAGCACTTTTAACATTAAGGTGGATCAAATTTGTGCCAAATTTTCCTTACTGAGAGTTAAGACTACATGTCAAAATCTAGACTTGGAGTTGGACCTTCAGTGCACAACATATTTTCACAAAAGGCTTCGGAATCTTCAATATTCAAATAATAATTTGCAAACGGCATTTTGTATTTGCTTTGGTAAGGAAGCAAATTTGCTTTCTCTTTGTTTTTTAAATTACATAACTTTGCGACAACAAAAACAGAAATGGTGAATTGGCATAATTTTCTTTTTTCTTTTTTTCTACATAGCTATAGCCCAAACAGCCCTCTAACTGGAATGGGAATCGCAGATATCACATTACTTAGTGGATTTGAGGTGGAAGAGGAAGACCTGGAAAGGGTTGGTTTTCCTCACTATCTTTTCTTTAAATGTAATCTTCTGATAATATAAAGAAACTACCCAGTGGTAGATATAAGCAGTTGAGGGGGCATCCCCCTTCTTAAAAACAATCTTAAAAATCACTAATATTGCCCTTTCAATATTTGGCAGGCTGTGTGCTTACGAGTAGACAATGCGATTTGAGGGAATGTGAAAATAAAGAGGGGAGGGAATCTTCTGCAGGTTCCCGGTTCTAAGTTTAACAAATAAAGTATCAGAAATGATCTAGAAGGATGTTGATAGAAAAATGGGGAATTGGCATCCACTGAGCAGAGAATTTATTCATCGCAGACTGTAGTACATCGGCTCAAACGTGTCTCCATACAAGTAAAATCCAATTGATTCGAATTTATCTGTCCACCAAAACTATAAATATTAAGGCACTCATGTATAAGAAATATGAAAACATTACGAATATGTTTAAAATGTCTCTTTTAGTTCCTATTTCAATCCGTTTTTTCGTCAATGCACACTCCCGTGACAGGGGAGTTAATTCTCTGCACAACAGATGAAACCCGGAGGAGACAATCGAAGCAGGGGCGGATTTAGGAAAGTTGGGGCCCTAGGAAAAGACAGGCATGGGGCCCTCTGAATTGAAAAGACAACTCATAATATAGACCCATTATAGAGATACAGAAATGTGATGTTAATGTCTGGCCAGCGATCATAAATGAATTGAATGTTGACATCTGACTGCAATGTCCCTCGTGTGAATTGCAGAATGCCTGTCATCCGATCAATGGTAAATAGCTTAGTTCGACGGACCCTTTTAAATAGTTATAATTCATTTATTGCCAGCATGAAGTCTAGCTTATTTTAAATTAGCCAATAGAAGCATTACTGATTTTCTGATTAACAGTGTCCTACCATGACTGAAGCTGATCCCAGTGGGAAATTTGTCCCTAACTATGTAGGGGCAGTGATAGCCATGCCAGTCCAGGGACTGGCTGTAGTTCTACTTTAAGGTGCATTGGTCAAAGTCAATGACTGGCATACCTGAAATGTAACAACCATACCATGCATATTGCTTTAGGTTATTAGAATTTATTAAGTACACTATGTAGCTATACTTTAAAAATAAAAATAAAATAATAAAATCACAATCCCCCTTCTTTTTTTTTTTTTACTTTTTTTTTGTAAGATAAATATTTATTAACTGCAGAAACATAATAAAAAGGAATTAATTCCAATGGGTTACATGAGGTGTTTTGTCTTCTAGTTTCTAAAATCATTAAATGTATGTTTCGATCCCAGCTTAAACAGCTACCTGAGCAGTACATTAGCCATTATGAGATATCCCCTGGAAGAGTGCTTCTATATTTTAATGAGGTAAGGCTAAAATAATCTTTTTTAAATAAGGTTATTTGGTTTAAAAATTAATAACAGTTATTCCCTCTCTGTCTCTAGCTGTATGAAACCAAGGAATGTCTGACTTTCACTGCTAATCAGAAAGTGCCAGTTGGCCTTTTACAGCCTGCTCCAGCTGTATTCTATGATTACTATGAACCAGGTAGAGTATTCTTTTATTATTCCCATAAAGTCTATCTTTATGTTCTCCAAGCAAATTAAGAATGTTTCTCTTTGTAGGTGTGAAGTGCACTGTGTTCTACTCACTCCCACAAAGGAGCCAGTTGGTCTCTAAGCTGTGCTCAGAAGATGTTTGCCAGTGTGCAGAAAGTAGGCACTCACTTTCAAAATATAAATACACAAATATTGCCTCAGTATTTGAAGTCATATAACTTGCTCAGATTTTAAAACCACAAGCAATAATGCATTTTTTATGTGAGTGTCCAATACAGTACAGCACAATTTTAAAATAAAAAAAAAGAATTATAAATGCTTTAAATTTTTGAACTACTTAATATCCGAAAAGTGTTGTACATTTATATTCCTGCCGGCCATATTGAACTTCCTTACACTAAGATTTAATGGAAATGTCTGTAAACACCAGTTCCATGTCTTGCAAGACTTTAATTTGAATTATGGATGGATTTCCGTTGGGCCATGTTGGGAGGTAACCTCTATTCAGGTATAAGTCTGTGGTTGCCTTCATGGTTGACCCAATGCTTAAGTGGACTAAGCAGCTGCTTAGGGCTCAGTGCCTGGAGCTTTTATACCCTCTGTTGATTTTCCCCTTGCACCTAATATTCTGGCCAGCTCTAGGTGGATGTGTACAGCAAAGATCGCAAGCTAACATCACACTACATTAAATAAAACTCTGTTGTTTCCAGTATTTCCAAAACCTCTTTATGTCATGTAAGAGTGACAGTAATTCCTTTCCAAATGTTTTTCTCAATCTGCTAATTGTATTGATATTTATCAGCTAATTTGTAAGATGTCTCCAGATGTTTATGCTTGCGGACCTTTACCAGCAGGAGCTGTCGCCTTTCTCTCATGCATTACCATGTGGAGCTGTTCACATCTTTACAAATTTTCTTGGATGCAGTGCAGAACATCAGGCCACATGGATGCTGCATGTTTGCCACAGGAGAGGTGTGGGTGCTAAAATGAGCCACTAAAGATAGGGTGAGGAAAAGAGAAATAGAGCATTTATTTTTTTCACAGTGAGGACTCGACAGTTATTATAAACGAATGGCACAAAAAAAAGTCATATTTGTCGGCCAAATGGAAAACATCATAGCAACCGCCTTAGAAACCGAAGGCTTCGGCTGCGGTCAACAAAGCTAGTGACGTAGCACTCCCTGTTCTCGGTCAGCCCCTTCCTTTGTCCCAGTGATCTGGGGTGCCTTTGGATGTCTGGGGCTCTGGTCACCTTTTTATTGGTCCTGGGCTCTGCAGGGCAAGCTTGGGGTTACCCACAACTGCTACTGAGCATATTTTCCTTCCAAAGAAGCCTTGTAAACCCTTCATACATAAACATGCATACCACGTGTTTGGTTCCAGGTGTTTAGAAATAAATATTAAAAATACTAAGCTGCAGCCACAGTTATATACAAACCTAATATTATTCAATCAATAATAGGTACCTGCTGCTCCCAAAGCTAGTTTGATGTCTACTTTTATTTTCTTTTTTCTGTTGTTTTGTTCTGTTTTCTTTTCTTTCAAGTACAAAATGTTGCTCTGTCTAGGCAGTTTAGTTGTATGCTTTTGGCTGAATTGTTATCGCAATGTATGTACAGCCAACTCAATCCAAACTTTGAGACAGCATGTGCACATTCTTTTAAAACCAATAAATGCTTTTTTGAATGAGAATCAAAGAACTCAGATAGCTGTATATCACCATATCTTTAACTGTCTTTTCTTTGTTTATTTAACAAAGAGAATGTGTACTTGTGTGCCCCGGATATTGAGAAAAAGTTACTTTGACCATAACTTAATAATACATATGCATATTTATTGCATTCATAAAAAAGTTTTCTTTTCTTTAGGGCCCTGTCATAAAGTACAAGAGACCTTCAAGAGAGTTCGTGGTAGAAAAATCACAAAGGAAGCCCGTGTGAATCACGCCTGCTTCTCCCCCACAGTGGATTATGGTTTGTACGGCCTTATAAGAATTTACTATTCTATGAAATATATTTGTTTTTTTCATAAGTCTGTGCAATTGCTCCCTTTGTATTATGAATTGTTTTATTGTCTTAGCAATTGAGAGCTAAAATCCAAAACAAAACATGTACATCTACAATTAGTGCAGCTTTTAATTACTTTTCATTTCTTGTACTACAGTCCACCAAAAACTATTTTTGCATAGCTGATAACATCAAAGTGTTTAATTAATTATTAACTAAATGTGTTTTTAAGATATGATTAAAAATTTTCATAAATAATTTTTCTTTGTTAAACTACTAAATTAACAAGTCTTCTAAACACCTTAATGAATAACACATTTCTGCTATCTATTATATAGCTCTACAACTGTTTCATCAATAGTTATAGTTTTATAGACTGGTTTGTGTTGTGGTGCATTTGTTGTGGGGCAAGAATGTGTGTAGTAAGTTATTCAGCTTTTTATTTGATTGCTTGTTTTCCAGCGTATATTGTGGAAGTCCAGGACGTTTCTTTTAAGAGCAACTTTGAGCTGTACAAAGTCAGAATTATTGAGATCCTTCGAACTTGTAAGTATCCAACCGACACTGAGAGCAGAGGTTTAAACAAAAGGTTTTTTAGTTTTTGGTGAAATTTTTGGTATTGAAAATAGTAATGTTTTTTCTACTAGATAATGACCTGCATGTGAGGACAGACAGTGTTCGAGTGTTTGCCAAAAGACTACATTGCAAGGGGGGGTTAGAGCTTAAAATGCAGTATCTGATAATGGGCAAAGATGGTGCCACTAAAGACTCAGATGGAAAGTAAGTAAAATAAGTTTTATAGGCAAAAATGCAGCTTTAAACGGAGTGTTCTAAACTGTTATTGTTTTTGTCTTTGCAGTATGCAGTATCTGTTGGAATCAAACACCTGGGTGGAAAGGAAGCCGCTAGATGTGGAGTGTAAAAAATCTGGGAACATCCGTACTTGTAATGAGTTCAATACATTCATTGACGAGTACAAAACTTTTGGCTGCAGACAGTAAATCTCAGTCGCAAATCTGTTAAACTTCCTGCAATTTAGACATGTTTACTTTGTTTTTGTGATAAATTAGCTTTTAGTATAAAAATATTGCATTATTATAGTAGACTGTCAGAAAAATGCAAGGATGATCCGAACATAATCAAATAACTCACTTTGCTTTACAGCAACTTTATCATTTTCAGTAAAAATATTCTTTCATTTCTTTATGTTGCAGTTGTAAGGTACTTTACTGAAATAAACACTGCTTATTGTTGTGTTTAGAAAGCCCTTTTGTGTTTATCATTGCTTTTACATCCACTCATCAATGTTCTGCCTCTTATCAGAGTCAGAGGGGGGTGGTTCCTATCTCCAGCAGTCTATGAGCAAAAGGTAGGTTAGATCCTGGACAGGTCACCAATCCATCAAATGGCAACATATAGACATGCAACCCTGCACACACATACAATTATACCTAAGGATACCTGAGTACCCAGAGAGAACCCAAACATTCACAAGGAAAACATGCAAACTCCATATAGAAAGACCTCAGGCCAGCAATTGAACCCAGGACCCTCTTGCTGCAATGCAACAGTGCTACAAACTGTACCAGCATGAAGTAAAAAATTACAATATCATACCAGTCTGTCAGGAAAAAGCAGGAATTATTCAAACATAAGAACATGTCTAATTTTGCTCTTGCTACAATTGTATCTTTAATAGTTCATGGATTATTTCATTTTTAAGTTTTGCAGTTAATTGGGAACTAATATTATAAATCCATCCCTCCATCCATCCTCTCCCACTTATCCATCAGTGGGGCTGATGCCTGTCTCTGGTAGCTTTGCTTAGTATGTAATGTCTAGAGGGCTGTCCTTTTGAATCCAATAAATAGATATTAGTTTAGTTGATTTTTTTTTTACTTGTCTAATTAAATTGGTGGCTGAATTATTTTGGGTACAACCAAACTTACTCAAAATTCAACATTGAAACTGAATTGTAGGTGTGTTCTTCTATGTTTCTCCCAGCAATAGGATTCAGTTCCATTCAGTTTGATTTAGCTTTCCTGTAAAACTACATTCATTTTTTTAATGTTTTCTTTTTCTTTTACGGGCAGCTAAGGCTCTGAGAGGGGTCTCTATGCTCAGCCTGCCCCCCGCTTCCTGCTTGACATCTGCAACCAGAGGAAAAGGAGGCGGTGGTTTTGGTTTCTTCAGCCCTATTCACTCACTCTTAATAGAAGGCAGGGTGTGGATCAATCATATCCCTCATAAGGATGAAAATTCCCCTTAAGAGCAAGTTTATGTCTCCTCTCGAATGCGGTCAAACAGAAGACGCAATGCAGAAGGTTCTCGGCGCAATTACATAACTCAGAACGAACAGGAGTGGAGAGAGTGTAGGCAAGGAGGCTGTGAACAAGCAAAGGCTTATGTGCTTATATTATTCTAATCTCAGAGAGCAGGTCCAATGTAAGCAACACGGGGGGACTAACCATCACTTCAATCACAGCCTGTTCAATGTGCACACTGTTTCACTCTTAGACATTTCATTAACGTCAGTTAAACAAAATAAAAGGTTAAATCTGCAGGTTTCTCAAATACCTTTGGGTCAGTGTCAGCAGCCAACACCATGGTTTAAAAGAAAAAGACAAATTAGCTGAAGCATCCTTGTAGTAATCAATGTCTTATTAGTGAGAAGAGTACAATTATGTCCCTTTTTTAATATTGGCATAGATAAAAAAAAAAAAAGGCAATAATTAAAACTTCTAATTCAATGTTACTAACTTATGGATGGTTGCAGTAGAGAAAAGTTTGTGATAGGTGTCTTCGGTTGACTGTTTATGCAATGTAAATTAAATGCAAGGATTTTTGATCGTGATCTGCTGACTTTGCTCAATCAGGTGTATTTTTTCAGGTGTGCATAACTGGTGGGATTCGAAGGTATGTCTAAAGGCCAGGTCTCAGTCAGCAGCATGATGGTGGTCCAATATTGCAGAAAGATGTAAAGCTAGAGCTGTTCCTGTAGGCTGCCATCAAATAGAGAAGGACCACCCACTCTGGGGTTCATGACTTTTTGCTTTTCAGTGGAGGCTGTCATCAGCAATGCTTGTGTCTGGAGATAGCATGAACTGTTATTTCAAATGTACGCATATCTGTTTTGATCAGTAAAACTTGGAGCAAAACTCCTGTTAGGTTTCGTCTTTAGGATTTAGGATAGGGACTGAACCATTTACCCACAAGGACACATCTATCAATGAAAATGCATGTTTTCTAAAGTTGCAGGACCGAAGGCCAGACTGGAAACAGGCTAATCACAATTAAGTATTTTTTGTTTGTTTTTTTTTTATTTAAAAAAACTAAAACAAGGAACCCAGATGAAAAAATCCCACCTGTACCGCAGAGTCATCCCAACCTTGAACAATCCTAAGACACAGTGAGACACATTGATTGAGATACATTTGTTAAAGGTTTTCCATCTAAGGAACACTGCAGATTGGATTGAGTCAGCGACTTAGCAGAAATCGCTCCTCTTGAATGAGCATGTAGCGACATTCAAGATTTGCTTGCATTAGGCAAAGAACTTTGCAGCAGTTTCTTACACCAAGCATGCGTGTTGCAAAGGTGGAAAGCTCCCTTTTAACAGAATGAAGCCTTTGGCAGAAAAAGGCTGTTAGTGCGCTTTCACACCATCAGACACTCTGTAGGTGTGCTTTCATAAGCTTCTTCTAATGTGCATTTTGAAGTATAGCATGAGAACAACTTAAGGGAAATGGCAAAATTAAGGAATAACACCTTTAAATTAATTTTAAAAAAGTGTTCTCACTTGCCTGAGGTGGTTGTTGGCTTTTGCAAAAAAAGGTTAATTTGCAAAATTGAAGATTTAAACACTTAAACTGTAGTAGACAGCTGGAAACAGTAGCAGACATGCTCAAACACACAAAAGGACTAATGAAAAACTGGTCCTAGAATACTTTCTGTTAGAAAAGGTAATGGTAGACCAGCTCCATAGGTGACTTTGTCTGGGAAAGTTTAACAGACTTGCCACAATTAAATTTTTAAAAGGACAGTATTCTGAACAGCTGGTCCAAAACAACCGTTTGGTATTCAGAAAAGGCTTAATAGCATCTAGTGGTCGCAAAAATATAGTTTCATGTGAGATTTTCTTTTCACATCTATTTCCATTGTATTTTTTGGCCAGATAAGCTTAGGTCGTTAGACAGCCTAGCTGACCACAGTTAATCTTAAATTGCCAAATTAAAGGCTAAATTTCTGCATATTTATTAAGTGTAAGAATATAATACAGCACCGAAAGTTTGATTTACTCATCAGGGTTGCCATGTATGTGCAAGAAAAGAATTCTGTCTGCTATATAAAATACATAAAGAGAACAGGCATTGGATTTATGTTGTAATGCTACATCAGACAGAATAGGATTACATATTAATTGTATCCATCAGACCAATGGGAAGTGAGTCATGCCTATCTCCAGCAGTCTGTGGGCTAAAGGTGGGCTACACCATGGATAGGTCAAAGTCTAGCAAAGGGTAGAGACTAACAACCATGTGCACACACACTCACACCTAAGGGCAATTTAGAGATGATAATTTACCCAACAGTCATGTTTTTGGACTGCTAGAGGAAGTCAGGGTAACTGCAGAGAACACATGCATGCACAGGGAGAACGTGTGTTCCAAGGCCAGGAATCCAACACAGGACATTCTTACTGCAAGGCAACAGTACTACAAATTTCACCACCGTTTCATAAAAGCCATACCAATTTTAATGGTGGTGTAAATGCAGCACGTTTGAGTGTGAAGTGAAAGGTTTAATGATCTCAGCAGCTTTTTGACCTCCTGTTAATCATTTAAAGTGTCAAATATATCCCTTGTTGCTCCAAAGCTTTTCTTATGTGGTTTACAAAAAGTTTGGACAGTGGGTGGCCATTGGGTTAAAGATGCAATACCTGCACAGAGGATGCCTAACATACAGTGGATAGTCGGTTGCTTGCATAACTCACAAGCAGTTACATCTCATTACCTTCAACAAACAGCCAATTCATATAGGCGGGGGGTTTCTTCAGCGTAGAGTCAGCGCTGGACACTGACAGTGTTGGGCTTTGTATTCAAGCTGAATCATGGATTTACTGCATGTGTTATTGGTAGCTGCAGCTAGATAAGTCAAGATGAAGACACATGCCAAAAATATTCAAACCTCAGTGTAAGCCTTACACTTTAACAGGGTTTTTCTCATGTTTTTAATGATAAATGCTTTACGTGAGACAGACAGACAGACAGACAGACAGACAGACAGACAGACTGACATGTAAAATTTTAAAATCAGGATGAAGATATCCCTTTTTTTAGATCCAAAACAAATACTTTCATGGTGGTCAGTCAAGAGGGGCCAGTAGGCGTGGCAAAGGTGCATGTTTGCTAGGGGGATGTGAAGGAGGTGTTAGTAGGGCCAGACTTTATCACTCAACTCCTTTATATTGGGGGTCCTTTTTCAGCTCTACCTTCTAAGATCTAGTCTGCAATAGTTACTTTTGCATAGATGGAGGGAGAGCCATAAACAAAACCACTCATTCATCGGTCAGGTAGGTTCTTTATTTCTTTAAAGATTTTAAAGTGATAACAGGAATAATTTCATAAACAAATATGTAAGGCACTTACATCAAAGGTAGTGCTCAGCTAATACCCATACAGATTTTTGTTGTAGGATTTTTTTTTCTCGTTTTGTTCAAATGTCTTTTTTTGCTGCCTTAAATGTAATGTACTGTATCTAATGATGGATTGACAACTTAAAATGTATGTCATCTATTGCACCAAGTAACATCTTGGGTGTTTCTGCTGTTAATGAGCAAAATACATATATTGCCTTAGTTATTCTGCAGTTGGATTCTTTATAAATTTCTGTCCAAGAAGGAACATTTGTGTGGTTTATGGAGTTGTGGTTTTGCTGGTGTGTACAGTGTTCTTTACCTTGAAAGGTATACAGCGTCTCTCAGTTCTATACAGTGATGCTTTGTTACTGCTGTGTGTAGTCTCTCTCTGGAATTTCCACTCAGTTGTAGCTCCTTCCACCTAATCTAAAATCAAGTTATCCTGTTAAAACTGTTATTTGTTTTACCTTTCTGTGTTTGGGATTTTTTTGGTGCTATTTCTTGTTGCAATATTAACAGATATACATGGTTGTATGCAGAATAATACACAATTATGAATTTTTAAAAAAGTAAACTCAAATTTAAAATTTTTTAGCAAAGTGTAATATTAGCGGAGAATGCAAAGTTTGACAGTATTAAAAGCAAAAATCTCTATCCAATGAGACATTCTGTTCTACTGTTTTCTGAATTGTGGCACAGCAGTTTTTTTTATGAGAACCAGTAAATATATGAACTAGAGTAGTCATACAATGTTCTGATTGAATAGAATCTTATGAGGAGCCATTCTATCTTCATAATTTAAATGGGAGCACTGTGAGCATGTAGCAGGCAAGTACTGAAAGTGCCTTTTTGCTCAGGAAAACCTATTAAACACAGTGAAGCTTCTAACTATTTTTTTTCTTCTCTAGGGAAGTCCTGCCAAAGTCATCCCGAACATCTTATTACAAGGACAGAGGAAAGAGATTATATTTTTTCAGCAGGATAACTTACAGTCT